AACCATAAAATATCAACATTTACCTTCCCATGATACCATTTCTGATTATTAAGACATGAAATTGAATTCTATATCATTATATATCATGTACATCATTATGGTAAAGTTTTAATAGGTGGTCCTTTTTCAAGATTTCATCCTTTTCATCATAGTTGACCATTATGGTTGAGGGAAGAAATCTTTAAATATGAAAGTTAAAATAAATTTGATATTCGATGTATACTCACCTAATGGAACATTTTCATGTCAGGATTCAACATGTTTTGATGAGAAACTCAAAAGTTATAGTTGACCTCTTTTACCTCACATCTTCCCTTTTCACTCTATACTTTTATATCTACAGACTTGAAATTTTGAAACTTCATATGAAAGTGATTATAAATGTTGTTAATGATGATATTGACTATATAACCTCATTAAAGGATTTTGAAATTATCATTCTTCCTATAGTTTCATTTTATAATTTTTAATCTGACATTATTTACAAAGTTAATATTTTATAAATTGAAAAACTAAATATACTACGTTGATCTACTCATAATTTCCTATCGAATGATATAAAATTTAATGATATATGAAAAAGTTTATAATTTTGGGCTAGGGTTTGAAAGTTGGGTTTAGAAGAATTCTATTTTTAGATCTGGTTTGGGTTTGGGTTTGGGTTTGGGTTTGGGTTTGGGTTTGGGTTTGGGTTTGGGTTTGGGTTTGGGTTTGGGTTTGGGTTTGGGTTTGGGTTTGGGTTTGGGTTTGGGTTTGGGTTTGGGTTTGGGTTTGGGTTTGGGTTTGGGTTTGGGTTTGGGTTTGGGTTTGGGTTTGGGTTTGGGTTTGGGTTTGGGTTTGGGTTTGGGTTTGGGTTTGGGTTTGGGTTTGGGTTTGGGTTTGGGTTTGGGTTTGGGTTTGGGTTTGGGTTTGGGTTTGGGTTTGGGTTTGGGTTTGGGTTTGGGTTTGGGTTTGGGTTTGGGTTTGGGTTTGGGTCCGGGTTTGGGTTTGGGTTTGGGTTTGGGTTTGGGTTTGGGTTTGGGTTGGGTTTGGGTTTCGGTTTGGCTTTGGGTTTGGGTTTGGGTTTGGGTTTGGGTTTGGGTTTGGGTTTCGGTTTGGGTTTGGGTTTGGGTT